TTGTACACATTTTGTTAAGGTTAATTTTTCTTCATAATGATTCCGTTAGTAAAGAAACTCATGATTTCCCTAGTATTACAAATTATTTGATTTAAAATTTTATAGTAGCTCCCATAAAAAAGCATATACCATAAAATATAGCATAATTACTCTTGTGTATGTTTTAATATATTTAGTTGGATTGATGTGTCACCTGTTTCTCTTAGAGAACCATACACGCTACAAAACTAGCAACTGTGCTTAAATAGAAATTAAGTTCCACTTTATTTTTACCTCTTCCAATGTGGAACCAGGGGCGGAGAAGTAAGGAGATTTACTAATTGTCATTCAGAAGCCTTACTGATATATGGACATAATAAATGCTAGGGGTTCCCATAATGGGTTTTCATCATGATATCCTGGGGCCCAGCTAGTGGATATGCTGCCAAGTTCTCAGGATTATGGGACATAAATCAGAAGAGATTCCCCTGCCATCACAGAGACCAGTCCATCTCCTTCAAACCACACTGAAGCTTCCCTTTCATCCGGGTTAAAAGCCAAATAGCCACTACTTCTGCCAACCCGATAAAGACAGGATTGATGCCATTGGGACAAAGTCAAACTCAGCAATTCAGCATCAAATGGATAATAACGTGTAGTCTTAATAATCTGGAAAGTGAAATTAAATTACTGGAACAAATATTGAAAGATAAGGCTTTATGGTCTGGAGTTTCAGAGGTCCTTACTTTCCATATTTTGTGCAGTGGATATATGAGAATCCTTGTTTCCTGAGCAGGACAAAATTTACAAAACAGAAGGATCTTCCAGTATCATGTGCTTTCATGAAAACGGCTTAATTGAGTGTCTCACTGCAAACCCCCCCCCTTTTTTTTTCTTATTTATCTCGGGCAAAAGCAAAATGAGTGGCAGTTTCACTTACTGCTGCTAAACACGTGTTATCCAATTTAATTATATAATTTTATATGTAATGTGTATATATTTCTTAACGCTAAGAAAGGGTGAAGCCTCAGGAGTTTTGTTGGCAGTACTTGAAAAAAACAAAAGGACACGAACTGATTTGTGCTGTAAGAATGCTTCACTCAGCATCTAAATTTGGATCTTAATTGATAGTGCATTTATTCAACATTTCCTTTTTCCTCTCATGGAGCCAGACGTATCTTATTTTGTATCTTGCTGGAGCATGGAAAGATAACGATGTCACAGCCGGTTTCTATCTAATACAGAGTCTTTAGGAATTCATATTTCTCCTTATAGCAGAAGAAAAAGAATAGAAGGTACTCATTTTTTAAGGCAACTTTTGAAACTCATTTTTACCTTAAGTTGCTTTTGTACAAGGGTGCCTGGCTGGCTCAGTCAGAAGAGCATGTGACTCTTGATCTCAGGGTTTGCGAGTTTGAGCCCCACATTAGGTGTAGGGATTACTTAAAAATAAAATCTTTAAAAAAATAAATAAATAAAGTAGCTTTTGTACAGAAATCACATTCTAATCAAATATAATGATATGCATATAGTTCGGAAGGAGATGTTTTTATAAGAAATTTGACTCTGTGCTAATATATTTTATGAGAAACATAGAAATGGTTTCCTAGAAGAGTCTGACTCCTCAGTCACCCACATGTTTTGTGTGTGATATTTAATGATATCATTATCTTCAATATCCTTATTGAAACTAGCAACCTGAAGACCAAATCAACAATTGAACACATTATTTAAAAATTACATTGCTTTAGAACACTGCACTGTATTCACAACCACTCACCTGACTCTTCTACTTATCTAAGCATCTCGAAGATTATCCCAAAAGGATAAAGGATAGTTGTTGATGTTTTTCTACCTTTCAATATTTACCTTGGAAATGTTGGATACTCTGGGCCATCCATTTTTTTTTCCATGTTTCAGTAACCCCTGTTCTAAAAAAATGTCTTTTCCTTCCCTCATGCAAATAACCCTTCTACTGTCAAGTTACTTTCCAGCAATCCATATTCAGAATTTCATAGTGTGGCATGTCAAACATTCTGATTTTTAACTCTTTGATTATAAGGCCTGATAGCAGTCATGGACTAGCAACATTTTTCTCCTCAAACAAACACTGGTCAACGTTCCAAGATCAAATGACCTATTTCAATTTGGGAAAAGATATTTGATTACAGAATATTCAGAATATGAGGGAACATTTAGTAAAGCTGTATCAGGGTATATGTGCATGAACTATACCAAATTCTCCTATTTTACCACGGAAAATGTATTTGGACGCATTCAGAAGAATTTAGGAGATCTATGTGATAGCCAGGTGTATAGGATTCCTTAAAGAAAAAGGAAATGTTGCAGAATCTTCCTTATAAAATATCTTGATGTTTCCCTGAAGCAAACTGCATACCTTTAGTAGGGAACACACACACACACACACACACACACTAAATTACCATCAGGTTACCTTAACTTGGTTACTTGTAAAGGACATATTTTTAGTGCACATAAGTGTTTAAGAGTACTACCACTTGGTTGCCTTTGGAGAGAATGAAGAGATATTGTCATAGAATTGTGCTTTGCTATCAGGATATACCAGATGTTAGACAGTCACATGAACTTTCTGCTGGACCAAGAAGTCCACAGGGCATGATGGTCTCTAACACATCTAACACAGTGTGACTCCTGTAATGAAGGGCCAAAAGCCAAGAGTGCTGTGCAGAGCAAATACAGACACTGTTAATCATAAATCTCTAGACACATACCTCTAGGTAATGCATTTATAGCATTCCACCCTTCAACCCCAAAACCTGCAACGACGACCTTTGGTCAAAAGTGTTTCTAAATTTACTGTGAAGGCCAAGTTTGGCTTAACCAGTCTTTCATCAATATTTTGCTTCTAGAATGTATTTATTAGAGCAACCATAATCTCCTACAGGACTGAGATGTATGCTTTCTTACTTAACTTTTTAGTTTGAGTTCACCTTTCATTCTGTTTGGTAGAATTTTTCCAACCGTTCAGCCAACCCTCACAGCCAAGGGGAATTGTGTGCTGGGACTAACTCCATAAGAACTATCAGCTCAAAGTGAATGAAGGTTCAGAGTCAGCAAAGAGAGAGCTCAGGGAACACAAATCAAATAGAGAAGGCAGGAATCTTCTCCCTCTTGGCTTATACCACTCTTCTTTGGACTAGCAATTGCTGGATATCCCTTGGTGGGTTGTTTGTTTGCTTTGTGATCTGCAGCTTGGGAATATATTAAGTATATTCTATACTGAATAGCTTAGCCAATGACAGCCAACATGTATTGTCCCCTTTTTTGGGTCTTCTCCACAGTGAAAGTAAACGTGAATTGTGTTCCTAACAAAGGGAGGTAAAATACAAGGGAGGAAAAAGCTTTTGGAGAATTAGTGATCTAAAAAATAAAAAAAAGGGGGCACCTGGGTGGCTCAACTGTTAAGCGTCTGCCTTCAGCTCAGGTCATGATCCCAGGGTCTTGGGATCGAGCCCCACATCAGGCTCCCAGCTCAGCAGGAAGCCTGCTTCTCCCTCTCCCTCTGCCCCTGCTTGTGTTCCCTCTCTCGCTGTGTCTTTCTCTGTCAAATAAATAAATTAAAAAATAAATAAATAAAAAATAAAAAATAAAAAAAGGTAAAACCCTTATGTGGTCTTACTCATTTGCTTTCCCTTCATCCCAGTTCTCTGACCTACTTTGCCAGTAGTGATTGATTTTTCACAGCTGGAGACCACAAAACCCTGGTGTGAGCTCCAGCCTGCAGAGTTAAGTGTGAATATACAAGCTGCTCCTCCATTAGGAGATGAAGTTTTCTCCAGCTTGGGCATCACTCGTTTCACCAATGAGGTGGTAGGTTTCAAGGTCAGTAATAAGAGGTGTCTGTTTTCACTTTGCTTCACATAGATCAAGACATACTATGTTAAAATATCAGGAGAGTGCCAAGATACCAAGAACCAGCAAGTTCCTCTTTTACTTGGAAGCTAGTGTATATTCTAATACCTAAAATTTCTCCAGTTCCTTCAAGTAACTTTAGTGAATTACTACTGTATTAACATTGCTATCTCTTGGTGTGTACACACCCATCATGGCAAGTCCAAACTCACACACCTTTACAGCTCTGCAATCTGCATTTGAAAGAATAGAATCAGTTCTTCCAGAAGGACAGAGTTTTCTGTAATAACAGTAACCCAATATTTTTGAAATTTCAGGTTCCCAATTCACAGCCTTCCACTTAACAGTAAAATTAGAGCTAGCCCTCAATAATAGGCTGATATTTTTTTCTAATTATATTTCATGATTTAAGAACAAGAAGCAGGTCTTGTCAATTGTGTACCCACAGCACTAAGATCAGTGTTTAAAACATAGAAGATCTTTAATAATTATTGTGGAATTGAACTGAATCTGCTGATACTCAGCCCCCAAAATTATTTTTCATCTTAGATAATTTAGAATACCTTCACATTCTCTTGTACCTTAGCCAGTAGAACTTAACCTAGGAGACAGTGAATAAATTATAATGAAACTTTCTCCCAAGTGGGATTGAATTTACTTCACGAAATCATTATTTTTTAATCTGAGCATTCTACAAAGGGTGCTCCTAATGAGAAGGAAAAAAAAATACCACAGCATCCTTGAATATAGATCCAATACTCAAGTCAGCTAATGAAATAGGACCCCATAGAGATTGATGCTGTGACTGAAGAATACAATTTTTTTTTTCTTTCTTAGAAAGTAGGAAATCTAATTACCTTCAAGTTTCTCACATTTGAGCCATACTACAAATGAGTTGTGTCCAGGTACAGAAAAACCAACAATATTTTATTTATAACCTTATTTTTTAGTTTTTGAACTACAAATTCTGGTTCTAGAGGTGTTTAAAAGATCATGGGTTTTATAGATGCTCATATGTAAATTAATCTGTTGTTTGCTTATTTTTTCTTTTTCTTTTTCTTTCTTTCTTTTTTTTTTTTTGCTTTGCCATTGAATGGTTCTCCTCATAAATACAGAACAGGTCATTACATGAAAAATATAAGATCTTGCATTTTTTTAATCTTGTTCTCTCTTAAAAATCTATTTCTAATATTGCATTCCCCATTGGACTACTTCATAAGGGCATGAGGGAAAGAAAGGAGAGAGGAAAAAAAAGAAAGACAAAATAGACTGGATCTCACCACTAGAATTCACCATAAAAATCTCAAAGTGTAACAGAATTCTTACAAAATTTCCTAGGCCAGTTCTTTAGGGACTTGAGATCTCCTATGAAAAATATGGCAACCAGGGAAGGCAGGGATGAGATGTGGGAAAATAGTAAATAACTGCAGCAAAAACAGGTTCTGAGGAATACACATAATTTTGTCTGCTTTAGATCACAATAGAATTTTTAATAAATAAATTTCTTTTCTTTTTTGTTTTTTTTTTGTAAAGACACTTTTTTGAAACAGTAGATTTAGCCCAGTCATTTGTGTCATTTTTAATAAACTGTCTTTTTTTATTGTTTGTTTTCTGTAACTCTGTAAATGTTTTAGATTTGAGTCTCTTGTACATTGTCTTTAGAGTTCATTCGGATCAATAACGGTTCATGCACTGAACTGTGTATTGAATTTATTGTGTTAACTGTTGTTGTGTGGTTGAAGGGAGATTTGTAAGAGTTATAGTGATTTAGGTGCTCATGCTCGATAGCAGGCATGGGCAGGTGGCTTTCCATGGGCGTATCTCCTGTAATCTCATCATCCACATTAATGATTTCAACAGTCCTTGTTGGGGCATGATGGTTTTGCCGATGGTGCTGCTTCCTCATCTTGTAGAAAATGACCAGCATCACTGCAGCCATGAGTGTGATGGCCACAAAACAGCCAATGATGATTTTGGTGGTCTTCATAACCTCATCGATTCCTGGGATCCCACTGTTCATGTCAGTCACTGGGATGGTGAATGTTTTTTCTGTCGACCTTGTGCTCTGTGGCGTGAGAGAGGTGGTCACATTGGTGGTCTCCCAGTCGATCACTGGAGTGGGGCCCACGTTGTTATCTGTGGTCCGTGCCTCATCCTGAGAAGGTTCCATAGTCTCTACTGTGACGGTTGAAAAGTAAGAGAAGGGAGTAGTGGTTGCTGCAGTAACATTCAGGGTGGCGGAAGCAGTGGTATTTCCAACGGAATTACTCACCATACATGTGTACATGCCTGTATCTTGCACGGTTACATTCGTGAAGTTTAATGTGCCGTCACTGAGCACAGCTATCCGCACTTTGTATGCCCCATGTGTCATGACCGTTCCATTTGGAGTAATCCAAGATACAGAGGTCAGGGACGTGGAAGCCCGACATTTCAGCTCAGCTGCCATGCCCTCAGTGACATTGAGGTCTGCTGGGGGCTCCACAATCACAGGAGCATAGCATGTGAAATAATTCTGGTCAAGCTCCCCAATGTACCTCCCTTTCAGATTGGGAGGAGTGTTACATCGAGCACAACAAGCTGTGTTGGAAGGGGCCATGTCTTTTATCCACCAGCTGAGCCACAGTATGTCGCAGTTACAGTTCCAAGGGTTGTGATGTAAGTGTATCCGCTCTAGATGATGCAAAGGTGTGAAGAGGTCATGAGGCAGTAATGTTAGATTGTTGTGTGCCAAGTTTATCTCCACGAGTGACTGAAGGTTATCAAAGGCATTCCGTTCAATCACTTGAATCTGGGACTGGATCATCCACAGTTTTTGAAGGTGCATCAATCCCTGGAATGAGCCAGGCCTGATGGCCGACAAATGATTCCCAGAAAGATCCAGCTCATCTAGTTTTATGAGAGGTGTAAGGTTAGGGATTTCACGGAGGTTGCACATGGCAAGGTTCAAATACCTCAAGTTGGACAGACCTTCAAAGGCACCTTCTGAGATGTATGAAAGCCTTTTCAATTCCCCTAAGTCTAGTCGGCGCAAAGAAGGGATTCTGTTAAAAGCATAAGAAGGAATGCTTTCAATGGGGTTGTTTCGCAACCAGAGCTCCTTCAGTTTAGACAAATATACAAAAGCTCCATTTGGGATGGTAGTAAGACGATTGTCAAAGAGTTCCAGAGTATTGAGGTTTGCCAGACCATTGAAGGCCCCGATTTCAATTGTTCTAATATGATTCCTACTCAACTGTAGGATTTCCAGGTGCCTCAAGTGCTTGAAGCTGTTCACTTTGATGATCTGGATTTGGTTCTCATGGAGGTTCAGCAGCCGCGTGTTGGTGGAGATGCCATCTGGAACCTCCCGTAGGTTTTTCCGGACGCAAATCACCTTGCTGAACTGGTTGCTGCAGGAGCAGACAGAAGGGCAGGTTTGAGCCCGCACCAGACCAGCCACCACAAGAAGTTGAAGAGCCAGCAGCACCACAAGCAGGGGGTCAAATAGGGCCCTGTTAAACCTAGGACCTATCATTATCTGCTGTGGATGTAAGGTCATCTTGTTCAACATTCATAATTTATCTCGTGTTGGTCCTTCTGGAGTTCAAATAGTCTGCAATATAAGAACAAAAAAGAGTATTAGATCTCCTCCAAATGTCTTTCTGGAGTAATGTCAGTGATACAGTGTATCAGCTAAAGCCATCATTTCTCAGACTAAGCAAACAACAAATCTAATGTCCCCTATTGAGCGATGTGGCTCAATTCTCATATTTATAGAGAAAATGTTTCTGTACTTCAAATTAGCAGTCATCCACAGCCCATATCTACCAAATATGCACTCACATAGGAATGAAAGAATGAGGTGAAACACCTTACTATAGTGTTTACCAAGTATGACTTGAATACATGAGGACAAACAAGATGTACCCCACCAGAAGGTTCAATGGCCAGACCAGATTGGAAAAGTTCAGAAAATAAGATTTGGGGCTATACCCAACAAACTAAAAGCTCCCATGCAAAATCAGTAATAGCTGATATTTTACTGAGAGTTCTTCTATGTGCCAGGCACCATGGGCTATAAACCTCACAAACAATCCTATCCAGGAATAGCTATATAATTTGCAGGGCCCAGTGCCAAATGAAACTGGGGGAAGGCTTCTTAAAAATTATGAAGAATTTCAAATCTGTAACAACAGAGCATTAACCAAGCATGGGCCCTTTTGTGAATGAGGCCCTTTTCAATTACATAGGTTGCGTGGATTGATCCTTTCTCTTCCTTACAGCACTTTTCTGAGTTACTGACTTCTATAGTCTCCATTTCCAAAATGAAGATGTTTAATCATAGGGAAACTAACATGCCTGAAGTCACAAAGTTCGTAAGTACAGAACCAGGACTCACACACTCATCTGATTGGTCCAAGGGCATATGATCTCAAGCACTCCATGAAAAAGTTTCTGGGAGAATGATGGCAAAGGCAAAATATTTTTTCATGATTAATTTCTCTAAAATACTTTTTTGGGGGGTGACCTCAGCTGTAAACCCTGGCAACTTGATTTATAGTACCTGTGAAGATACACTGAAACTATGGCATGCACAAATGTACATAAACTTTTAGAGATTTTCAAATACCCAAATTCATTATAATATAGCAACTGCTGCCTATAGGCAGACATACCACAAATTAAATCATTTCTATGAAACATAACTTTTACGTACAGAAGATACCTTAGTGTAACAGAAATATTATATATCTTGTACCCTACTCTCACTGATTTTAAGTAGATTTGTGGGAAGGGGAATAAAATAACTCACTTTCTGCATCTCTTCTGGCACAAGAAGGAATTTTAAAGGAGCTTGGGTTACCCAGTGTATGTCCCACTCTTATCATGCATTGGACACTTGTATAATGACTTCTTCTAAATCTCTCATCTCAATAAACAGTGTCCCTTCTGTGAATCTCTTAGAAACAAACAAAGGAAAAAAGGGATGGGGGATCACTACATTCTAATTCAAAAAGGCACTAATTTAGTACTTATTATATGTCACCTTGGACAATCTCTCCATGACACAACCTCCTCACTTGCAAAATGGGAATGATAATAGTACATACCCCCTGTGTTGTTGTGAGGATAAAATTAGTTAATGCAGATAAAGCCCTTAGAATAATGCCTCCCACATGGTAAAAACTCAGTAATGTTAGATATTATTATTACTGTTCATGCTGTTTCTCTTACCCAGACATCTTGCTGAGTACCAGGCATATAAAGATGAAGAATATCATCCTTACCCCTGAGGAAACGATAGTTCAGAAGGTGAGACAGATAGGTAAGCAGATGAATTACAATAATATATATTCACTGGTATGAGACCCAGCCACATTGGGACAAGGGCACTGATGTCAGATGAGCTCAGTCTGTGCTGGTAAATCAGAGGATTTTCAAAGAAGAGGATCATCTGATCTAGGTTTTCTAGAAGAAGTTGATTTAAAAAAAAAAAAAAAAGAGGAAAGAAGAGCATTTTAGGCAAGGACCACCTTGAACCAAGATAAGGACCCATGAAAGATGCTAGTACATCCAGGAACCAGTAAAGAGTTCCCTGTGGCATGAGAACAGAGGGCCTGGGAAAGAGACTTAGTTCTTTCTTCAGGGCTGTAGTAGCGCTAGACTGACTTTTCACACCACCTAGTACTATGATCATTAGTCCCTGGTTCTGTTTCTCCCACTAGTCCTCTGTGAGGACAGAGGCCATGTCTGATGGTTTTTCTCACTTGTCACACTGTAGGCACTGGATAAAAAGGCTGTTGTGTATGTGCAGAAACAGTTACTATCTAGTTACAACTCTGTGTATGTGTAGTGATGGGCACTAATATAGTAATCATGACTTTCTATCTTCTATATTTTCTTTCTTTCTTTCTTTCTTTCTTTCTTTCTTTCTTTCTTTCTTTCTTTCTTTCTTTCTTTCTTTCTTTCTTCCTTCCTTCCTTCCTTCCTCTCTCTCTTTCTTTCCTTTTTCATTCTTTCTTTTAAGAGAGAGAGAGAGCTCACCAGTGGGGGCGGTGAGAGGCAGAGGGAGAAGGAGAGAGAGAATCTTAAGCAGACTCAACACCCAGCATGGAGCCTGATGCAGGGCTCCATCTCATGACCCTGAGATCATGACCCAACCCGAAATCAAAAGTCTGGATGCTTAACCAACTGAGCCACTCAGGTGGTCCTATTTTCTATATTTTCTGATGTTTTGGTATCTGGGGCCTTGTTGTTCCAGAGAGACCCCTCCAAGGGCTAGCCAATTCTTAGAGATAGTAAAAGACTTGCCCACAAGCATGCCTTTCATATGCAAACCAATCAGTCTGAAGCCTATACCCCAACCACCTCCTTTATCAGGATCTCACAGGGCTAGCCAATTATCAGCCTGCTTACCCTGACTTCTCTTGCTTTTTCTCACCAACAATGATAAAGGCTCTTGCTCAGATTTTCCCTTGCTCCCTCTACCCCCCTGACTGACCCTGGTGCTTCCTTGTGTGGCCCCCATGTGGCATGGCATGCTCCCTCCTCTTGGGAACTGTGAGTAAAAAAATATATATATATCTTCAATGACAATTGCCTCTTGATTTGTCTCATCATACTGAAATAATAAGAAAATCTACATTTTAAAACAACTAATCACTAAATAATGGGGCCCTGCTCATTTTATTAATCTTGTTGATGGCTTTATAGGTCTATTCTATTGTCCCATTTACACTGTGACAACAATATGATTGGTAGGCTTCTCACCTGAGCTAGATTAGGAGTTATTTTTTATTGTAAATTTAAACAAGACCTTAAAAACCCTTATAGATTTCCACTTTAAATAGAACCCTACTTAAATTTCCAGTAACACAACCATTGAAAATTTTTTATTCATATGATTTGGTGTAGTTTTACATTTGCTCCCCTCTCTCCAACACACAATTTTTAGGTAATTGGGCATTTAGAAAATAGCACATAAAATCTCTGATACATTAACTGATGGGTGTTTTTAGCATTGGGGTCCCAGGGTCCTGCTCCTCTAGTTCACCTCCCATCTCCCATCCTATGACTCTCAGAATCCTAGGGTCTCTGGCAATAGAGATATAGAAAAATAACTGATTGACTGGACATAGCACAGAAGCGAAGAAGCTAAGTCCTTTGCTTAAGATAAGCCATTTGCTATCCTTTTCTCCTTAAAATAAGACATAGCAAAGGGAGCCATGTTCCATGGTCAAGGGAGAACTTGCATTGAGTCAGGGTGGTGGTGGAGGAGGTAAGAGATTACTTAAAAAAGCAGAGGAGTAGGAGCATGACATAAGACTTGCTAAATTTAAATACCTGCTTAAACCTCCATGTCTCTACAACTGGAAAAGTTACTTCACTTCTCTTTACTTTCCTGTCTGTAAAAGAGAAACACCACTGTCATCTACTCAAAAGGCTTTTGTTAGCAATATCACATTATATATATATCATATATACATATATATATATATAGTAAGTTTATATTTATATAAACTTACCAGCTCAGAATAAGCAATATATAATAAATATTTAAAACATATTCAAACTAAAAATAAAGTGATGGGATGCTCAGTTTCTTCCTCTTATATAAGATAGGAATAACACTAATATCTATTATTCAAAGTTATGGTAAGGATTAACTGCAATGATCAGAAGCATGCTTTCATATGCAAATCCAATACATTGCAATTAAATGTAGAGTGCATGTGTCTCTCCCTTTTCAATCCCCAGGCTGTCTTATTTTCTATTTCTTGCTTACTTCAAGGTCTTTCTGCTATTGCTATTAATGAGATTTCCTATAAATCAGTCATAAGTAACGATTTATGAATTATAGCTGGTTCAAAGGTAATTTACAACCCACAGAAAATAATGTTTGGGACATGCACTGAATCGAATAAACTACTATCAACAAAAGGTTTTCTATTTTAAAATCTAAATTATGTTACTTTACATTAAAAGCTACGTTTCAACATCTCTTTCATAGGATGTTTTATCACATCAAAAAGAAATCAACTTTAAAGTACATACTATCCATTACAATGTCATCTGACAGCATTTATTTGCAAATGGACCTGTATGGGTTTTGAATTAAACTGTAATACTTTTAGCCTTGTCTCAGAGGATATTCTGACTTTGTCAACAGACCTTTCTTCTTCCCCTACCCATGCTTCAGTGCACTGAGATACAGGGGGTGCTTTATTTAGCACACAATCATTGCTTAGTTAGCATAAACTGGGTCTAGGTATTAGAACTAGTTTGGAGCCAGATAACAGAAAGGTGAATTTATTAGCCACAACCACTCTCCCCCACAGAACACACACACACATTCACACTCACATGTATCTGCGACAAAACCCCTAAATACTGAGAACCAAAACCACTTGCCCCACACTCAGCCTGGACACTGAGACCTCCAAACCATACCTTTCTGTTGACATGACCATGATTTTGCTCTTCCATTGTCTTTATTAGCATCTCTATCTTTGCGGACTCTCCTGTCCAAGCAAATGGTTTCATTGTCCTTCTAGGAACCTGCCCAAAGATCCATCAGTTCTTTCATAGAAAGCATCTAATGGCAGTCTATAC